TTCCTTCCTTCTCTGTGGAATTTCTTGTTTTGATCTTTATTCGAAAGCAGAAGCCTCTCTCTTTACAAAGGTACCTTTGCCATGAAGTGGTATTGGAAAGTTCGAGAGCTATAGACAATTGCAGGAAATTAGTCAAGATCTACATTTTTCATCACGAAAAATTCTGGAAGTGTTTTTATTTGATAGAGGAAATTCTGCACATTACAGTGGCACCTTTCCATGAATTATAACCGAGTAGATCGAGAGTTAGAAGCAAATAAAGAGAATTTCTTCACTTTTGCAATTTTTGAGCATGCTCAAAAAAGTTTGAAAGCGTCACAGAAAAAGCGAAAAGGTCATAAACATGGGTTTTGCGATTTACCCTTTTTAGCTGAGTGAGTTTCGAGCTGATCGAAAGCAATTTTGATTTTCGTGAAAAACGCAGACCCGAAAATCCGAAAAAATCACGAAAATCAAAATTGCTCCCGATTGGCACGATTTTTGCTCAGCTAGAAAGGGGAGGTTGCTAAACCCATGCTCATGACTTTTTCGACTTTTCTGTGACGTTTTCAAGCTTTTTTGAGCATGCTCAAAAATTGCAAAAGTGAAGAAATTCTCTTTATTTGCTTCTAACTCTCGATCTACTCGGTTTTAATTCATGAAAAAGGTACCACTGTAATGTGCAAAATTTTCTCTATCAAATAAAAATACTTTCAGAATTTTTCGTGATCCAGCTTGAAAAATGTCGATCTTGACTAATTTCCTGCAATTGCCTATAGCTCTCGAACTTTTTGATACCTATTCATGGCAAAGGTACCGTTGTAAAGAGGGAGGCTTCTTCTTTCGAATAAAGATCAAATCGAGAAATTCCACAGAGAAGGAAGGAAGTCATGATTTTTTGAAAATCTGGCGAACGAACTTTTGCACCCACCTAATATATCTATCTTAGGGTGATCGGTAAAAAATGGGGCACCTAGAGAATAAATGTAGATTTCTCAAAAAAGAAAAGTGATTAAACTTCCCAATTTTGAGAAAGTTAGAATATATTATTCTCTTTCAGAAAATACCTATATGAGGTTATTTACGTACCTAATAATTTTTATAGTGGCTGAAATGCAAAGTTAGTCACTTTGACAAATTATAAACTTCGGGCAGTATCTGCGCAGTGGAACATACGAATCATCCAAATTACTACTGCTGCTATGCGTGAAGTACAGTCACCAGACACACGATGGATTGCTGGCCTCAACTTTCAAATTCAGGAGATATGGCCATTAGCAGCTTTGAGAACAAAGATACGTGCCAATTCTTTGCAGGTGAGCGCAAGTTTTATAGGCACCATCTGAATGAGCTTTTTGCGCTCTATCCATCCATATGCAGCTTACCTCACATTTTGTCTATCTTCGAATAATACAGATTGAAACTTGATTTACTAGTTTTTGTTGCGTCAAAAAATCGCGATTTTCAGGTATTTCGCTTTTTTTTACCCAGAAATAAAAAACAATCCTGTATGTTTAATATATTGTTTGAAAGAGCATAAAGAGCTCTTTCGAATGGTATATCAATTTCTCTATAACTTTACGGTATGGCAGCGCAAGAATGAGCGATGTTCAAAAAACCCTGTTCGCGTTCTTCAAAGCGCCACGAGTAGGGTTGCGGGAGAGGAGCGTTGACGTTTTGCCAGAATAATAGGCAAAGGTCGCTTATATAAGCGACGTTTACGTTCAGCCTGCTTGTTGTTAAACGAATCAAAAAATCTCAAAATTTTATAGAAATCAAGCTGCCCATTTTTTACCGATCACTCTAATATCTATAGCTATCTATCTATATCTCGATATTTATATAGTTGCTGTGCTGGAAGACTCACCGCAAATTTCTAAACTTTCCTTTTCTGTATTGAAACAGCCACCGGGGCCCATATATCTACAGCCTCTAATTGTTGGATCGTAGCCATGGCTGAAGAACAATTTTGCTTATTGTTAGATGTTCGAGAATGCGCAGCTGCGAAACGTAACACTTACCCAGATCGTTCAGGGCATCCTCCTCGTACTCCTTTCACTCCTGGAGGACGACAAATAATTGTTATATTACCTGAAAATAAGACAGACGAAAAGATAAGATGCATAGAAAAATTAGAAGCGCGATGTTCATTATTTGTGAAGAACCACATCAAATTGAGGTATTTGAGTACATTTGAATTTTGACAGTGGCAATTCTTCTCTTTCATCATATAAGGATTACAAAAAAGTTGACCTTATCAAGTTTGAATCTTGGCAATAACAATTCATCCCTTTATTTTTTGTATTAGATTTTATGTGTTGCCTTTCCCTCTGGGTAAGAACACTGTATCCAGAAGTACCGTTTTGATATCTATAAACATTTTTTCGTACAGCCATTTCAGTTTTTCGTACAGCTATTTCAGTTTTTGAATAAATGAAACTCAAATTTTCAACTGTGCAGACTAATCGATACTGACGGAACCATTGACAAAGTTGAAATTTGCACTAGACATTGAGTTGTCTACATTGAAGGTACTGGAGTTCACTTAAAGGCAGTGGCTTGAAAAATGGACTCACACTTTGCACTTTTTGTAGTAATTCCAAGTACATCGCAGATCCAGTTCCATCTTCCAGTTCGCGGGCTAATTCGTGAAACCATGCTTTAAAGCTCCATCAATCCTGCCCGCTTACGTTAGATGGGCGACATTGGTAGAACTTTGGAGCACATTTTCGGAACTTAGTTCAGGAAAGATAATACCAAATCTACGTCTTAACGGGTCAACTATCCACATAACTATTCAAATCTGACAAGGGTCCAATTTGCCAAGCCACTGCTTTTGAGGAGGGTGCGTCCCGTTATCTGTGAGTGCCAGTTACGCAGGCGAAGACAGGCTGGCAGTAACCGCGGAGAATTCGGACAGCAGGACTCACAAAATCGGGATTCGAACAACAACAGCAGAACATAGTTCATTTACTTTCAGATCTAGGCGTGGCTATGGTTTCAGGTTGAATATTGCATGTCATGACTCAATACTGACAGACTGGTTTGCAAGTCTGTTTTAGTTTTCACTGTAGACGCGTACATAGTCACTGTGCTGGTAGGTTTAAAATGCTTCATCATGCAGACACTTCTCACTATTTTCTCTATGATAATGTTAGAAACAGCACTATAGTTGGGCTTATCACATTTGTTGGAAACAACTGATGTCACCTCGTCACACCATAGTTGGGGTTTATCACATTTGTTGGAAACGACTGATTTTAACTCGTTCGCTTTGCTGACGAGGAGATCAACGTGAGAACTTGCTTCGCTTCTGGGTTTTTAATTTGGTAATCCGGTCTGGGTAATCCGGTCCATACTGCGTATCTATGTAAGTTGAACCTCGTCCTACAGAGTGATACCTGAAGTTCGCCGAAAGACATGAAAGCAAGAGGGTTATTAACGATCAAACAGCCGTTCATATTTTTCCTTTCGGACACCCTGTATAATTACGTGATTCTCAAAAGAGACGAGGATAGTTCAAAAGCGACAATTTGTTTCGGGAATAACATTAAAAATGAAATTGAGCAAAACCTCCCATCAAGTCAGCTTCGAATTTTCAATGCCATCTTTATTTTTCTGCATATGACATTGCAGAATCTACATGCCACAAGATTAGAAGTCCTAGTCAGCGCCAAACATGTGACATCGCCTGATATCTTAGTAAGCACAAAGTATCTAATATCAGCGATTTCAAGCGCTTAACATCATTATATTGATGAAAAGGTGGTACGATAGCACTGACAATTTCGCTCATGCATTGGCAAAGATAATGGTTTTAGTAGAGGGCGTACCAATTTGATAACGAAAACATCCGTACTAATAAATGATGCGAACTGCTATGCAAAGTCATTTCGAATTTTTGTGCACTTCTTCACGCTCTCAAGTTATTCCTCCAACGGTACATTTCTCAGCTGCATTTCTCAAACCAACCCAAAATGCAAAAATGCTGCATTGGTATGGATTTTCAGGCAACAGAAACGCAAGCAAAGTTTAAGAACAAAATAAAAAAGCAACATCTTTTTTGGAAGAAATAATAGTACGTTAACTAGACAATCGCAAAAGACCTCTCTATACTTCCCGATCTCCAAACTCTGGCTCGTGCCTGCATTTAGCCTCAAAAGGTAAAAGCAGAATTTTACAAAAGAAAGCTGTGCAATTGCCTGTTTATTTCGTAAGTATTGAAGTGATACTTGAACTCTTTGCAAATTCAAATTAGTTTTGTAAATGAATTTTCTTGGGCTTTAATGTGATCAAAAGCTGAGCCAAACAGTTTTTCTGGTAGTAAGTCAAGAAAAGTCAGGTCAGGTCGGCTGATGCAGAACCACGCATTCTGAACATTTTTAGTGCCTAAAAACTGGTGTTTGGGAAGCTGGCCTGACACACAAGCATCATACAACACCGTATGTTTTGAAAAAAAGACGCACAGTCGCCCGATTCATGTGACTCACCGTCGCATGTCCATATCTCGCTTCAGTGTGGACGAATTCCTAAATCAAGGACACCATTCGACTCTGCGGGCGCGGCGCATCTTTAAGTATACAGAAGTGCCGCTTGGACACAGCAAGAGCCAAATTCTAGGACTCGTTTGAGATTTTTGCTTACGGTAGGTTTCGGTACGCTTATTCATTGCACGCACTGGGCAACTTACCGTGAGCAGAAGAAACGAATTGTAAAATTTGGCCTTCTACAACGTTCAAGCTGTTACTTCTATATCTTAGAAAAAGCGCCGCTCTGAGCTGAGTCGAAAGGTGCCTTTGGATTAAGAATTTGTCCTTTTGAGGCGAGATATGGCCACGTTGCGGCGATGTCACATGAATCGGGCAATCGTGCGTCGTTTTCTCCGAGACATACGAGCGGTACTGTTAAAATGAGCTATCATGATATCAAGCCAAATAAAACAGGTAAAGTGCTAAATCTTCATTATTATATTGCAATATATCGAGATCAAATGAAATTTGCAAACTAATCATTCTTCTTTTAGAAAATGATGCGTTATTTTGTTGCGTTTTCATTACTGTTATTCGTTTTGGAAATCTCAGTCGAGGCGAGCTCGAGCGTCCCTGAAGTATTTCTTTTTTGCTTCGCCCATGCTCCTCGTACATGCAAAGCACACTGCTTGGAAAGTGTATGCTGCTTATTTACTGCCTGTTTACTCGTCTATTCGAATCATCAGTTTGAGTTCAGAATTGCCGAAACGGACAATGCAAAGGGGTACCATCAGGACAAGGTCGAGAGGTTAAATGTATCTGTGAGGATTGTCCCGGTGGTCAGCAGAGGAAGAAACAACTTCATTGAACAGATGCATGTCTTTTGAGCTTTTTGCGTAACACCAGTATGAAGCTGTTATAATGCAAATTATTCAATGTTTCCACCACTCAACGATATTATTCAAGTTATCAGCAATATTCACTCAAATCTACGAGAAAAAGCTGGTATACTTATTTTACCATGCTAACACAATTCGGTTCTTTGTCTTACTGTCAAATGTTCAGAATTAATAGATTTATGAAAGTGCACGATGATGTACTGATTGAAAAACACATATTTGCGATTTCCTCGCTAGCCTGTCCATGGTCAGCATTATGCCTAATACACGTCGATTACCGCGTACATACACGCGAATGCACGCCGTGACTCCCGTTTAGCACTTTCGTGCATAGTACGTATGCGCACCATTTTTTAAGGTGTATAGAAAGTGCTAAGGTAACATATGCAATAACGATAGTGGTGGCCTGATTGCCATATGGAGTCATCGCGGTAGCTCTACAAAAGTTTAGAACGCATGTTTAGCTATTAAAATATGTCAATTGTGTTTTATTGACAAGGGAAAAATACTTGGTCCAAGTGGAGTTTCCATATGAAATGTACAGTGGCTTATACTTATAGCTCATGAAACGCTGATTCCGAATCTACTTTTGTTATTTGCAAAACGTTTCTGGAAAGGGAATAATGGGAATTTATTTAAACAAAATTCAAGAGCTTGGTGATGTAAAAACAGGCGTTGACTTACCAATGCTTGAAGGAAGTAATGACGGCATAAATTATTGGACTGAAGCTAATTTACACTGAGCACCCTGGCAGTAATCATAGCCCCATTTGAGCTCACAGGCTACACGGATGATTTTATTATAGCTGCTAATCCAAATTTCTGCTTTGAAAAAAGCCCCATAACCCTCTTTCCAAAAGAGCCTTGCAGATAACAAAAGCAGATTTGAAATCAGTGTTCCATGCTCTTTAATATAATATGCATTTCACATGGAAACTCCATTTCGATCAAGAATCTTTCCCTTGTGAGAAGGTTGGAACTTGTACAACTGTTCTGAGAGAAATCAAAGATGAATTTAGGCAAAAAACACTCGATATTATAGCGCTTCCTCGGAAAGAGATTCTCACACGTAGCATCGCATAGTTTATTGAAGGAGGAAATGATGCAAAAATCTTTGTGCATGTAATTCCTGATAGAACTCTGTAAGATACAAGTAATTTTAAAAATAATGGTTTGCATGTTTCATAAACAAGCGTCAAAAAGGCTTCCACATAAGCGCGGTCGTGTGTCTTGTGCATAAGCGCGTATGCTCGAAATCATTATATGGAAGTCTTTTTGACAATGCAAAAAACACGCACGTTTTTTTTCAGAATTACTTGAATCACAGAGCACGTCAGTAGGTATGTCATCAATCTGTTAAGTAGATCGGGCCAAATTGCAATTACGCATTTTTTCAGAAATCTGCTTACAAGTAGAAAGAAACACTTGGAACGCAGATAACTCGCAATCAGATTATTTACTGGAAAGTTTACAGTCAAATCCGTGATTGTCTTCGGAATTGCTTTATCTTCAATTGTCCACAAAAATTGAATGTCTGCATGGACAGAACTTGCCAAAGTAACGCACCACGAATAGAACCAACGTTGGCCTGTTCATATAACTGTTGGTCAAGCCTTTTTACCAAAAGTCGCCGTTGGTGAGTCGATATGCAAAAGCCAACATAAAATTGCACCGCTTATTTTAGTTCTCATTAATGACCCCATCAAAAATGCAATGATTTATGCTATTTGAAATCGCTACTGAACATTGGTGGAAATAAAGCGTAAGAGATGTTTTCGCAATATTTTACTATTTATGGAAGCTTTCTGAAACAACACTAGGGCAAGTATCACCGCCATAGCGCTCCATTTTGGATCATGACCAATAGATGCTCGAAGATTTTTGCGTTATCCTAGGTAATGAAATTGAATTGCGTGAAGCCAAATCTTTTTAAGCTAGTGTGGCTAATCTGCAAATCGTCATGGTTTGCCTACAAAATAATACATTCTCTAATGTCGCTCCGTTGCAAAGATCAAAGGTTTCTGTCCTCGCTCACTTCCAAAAACACATGATTTTGTGTCATTTAGATTGTGCGCATAGCATACGATTTACGGTAGAAAAAGGACATTTCATGAGCTCTTTAAGGCAGTGTTTTCCTGCAATTTTGGTACATTTAGAAAATTTACTTACGAGAAAACCGTGTCGAGTCGAAGCGGCCTTTCCAGATGAGTCCCATACTCTTCGAAGAGTATTAAGCGGTGATTCCAAATCTGCCTTCCAAATCTGCCAAGCGTCTCTGGACACCGAGTTATGACCGTTCTTCAGAACGAAAAATGAGCAGAATCTAGGTAAAATTGATTGTTATAGTTTTTCCAGCGCTTAGATAAAGCAATGTTAAGTATTAGCATATTCTTCAAAGCAGTATGGATCTCATCTGAAAAGGCCACTTTGACTCGACACGGCTCCCTTGTTAGCTGTATTACGTTTCAGGTACCAAAAGTCATACATTTTTATGACTTCTCTTCCTTTTACTGGGAAGATAGTGCCGAAAATGCCTCTATTTTTCTGAAAATATTAGGCAGTTTCATAAATGGTTTCCGCGGCTTCGAAAGGAAACAAATATGGTGAAAGAACTCAGAAACTGTTCTCTCTTCAAAGTTTGCATGATTGATAAATATTCGTTGTAGATTTTTGTGCCATAGAAAAACAGACTAATCGTCAGATGATAATAGCTCTAGAAGGTACTTGAATTTAGCTCCCTTGAACTTCATAACCTCGATTACCTAGCCAAACCAGAACGCAAATTTTTCACGTCTGCCGCTGTTCAAACGACAGAAGAACGCCAGCGTCTGGGTCGATGGTTTCGGCTGGCTTCTAAGGAACGGGTGGAGTAGGGTCGAAATTTTTTGCTTTGAGTAAGTCACAAAAACAAAAAAGCCTATTTCCCCATTGCTATAGGCAGCAGAGTGGTTCGGATCCCTCACGCGTTGCCATTTTGGAAATGACGTGAAGTCAAAAATTTAGGCTTTGGTCAAAGCAGAAGATGAAAAGATGAAAATTTTCTGGTTCTTTCTACTGATTTTATTTGTGTGTGCTACTCGTCTAAACCTTGAAATGAAATGCCACTAATTTTTTACTTCAGAAAACTCGGAACGTTTGTTATCTACAACTTCTTTGACAAGCTGCATGTGAGTAGTTCATGACATGACCTTACAAAGCAATCCACTCGCAATAACAGAAAGGAAAGAACCTTTTGTTTGAGCACTTGAATGTTGAACTTAGTTTTCCCTTCTCAACTAACCTAGGACTATCGAATCAACAAAAAATTATTATTTTCGTTCTGCTTAACTTTTGTAAGACGGACGAGAAGAATGAGAAGAGCTGCTCCGTGTTTCCGCACTTACATGCATAGTTTGGTTAGCAAGAAAAGTGCTGGCTGAGACGTTTATTCTCAGGGGATGCACGGGTGAGAGAAGTTTTCCATGCTAATCACCGTGATTTATATCATACGGCCTCAACTACTCCACAAAGAAAGGCATTTTCTTGGAATTCCAGGTGTGTTATAACAGAGCAGCAACATGAGAATGCTCTTTGCGATGTAGGGTAGAATTACGCAGACATCATACTGCATGTATCGTTTAATCGTGAATGGTGGTAGTTTATGTTTGATAGCCTGTCAAATTGATGTGAAGATGGCATTCAGATCAAAAAGAAAACTTGCAACCTTTCAAGTTTTGCGCAGCGCTGCCATTGAACAGAAAAAACCATGGTTTTAGAAATTTTCACTTTGCAGGATTGAAAGTCAAAAGAAATTTAAAGGCTTATATCAAAAACATCTAAAGCATCTAGCAGCGCTAAATTCTTACGGGGTTTATACTGCAGAAAGGCCTTGTCAAGCTCGCGTACTCTCAACAACAGTGTTAAAAGCAAAAGTAATGACAGTCCATTCAGGTTGAAACATTTTAAGCCGTTCTTTTTCCAATTATGTGTTCTTCGAGACTCGCATTTCGAAAAGCAGAGATAGTGTACAAACTCTTTCATTGACAATCAATGATTGTTAAAACGACTTCAGAACAGTTTTTTGTTGACTAAATGGACCTCGTGAGATATCCTTGCACTAAATAGCAGGCTTCTGTTTAAACGCTTGCATAATAAGAAATTGAGAGTAAAACCGTCGGCTCTTATCGCGCAGCTTTTGCTGCTTTTTTTGCGAGCAAAGCGCCTTGTTTTAAAATGGAAAAAAAGAGGTCTAACGTTCCGTTTATTTTATTGAAAATCGAAATTGTCATTCTTTTCTTTTGCAACATAAGTTTTTTATGATAAAGCAGACAATGATTCATAATCCATACTTTTCTTGCACAGGTTGTGTTACGCTTGTTGCTGTAGAAGAACCGATAGCTGCGGATCAAGGAGGGCACAATTTTTGCCTTTGAGCGGTGTAATCAGCTTTAAATAAGAAATAGTCACTGATAATTGAATTTTAAGACGCTTTCGAAATTTGCTGGGTTTTGGTGCATTCATTCGATAGCAATTTTTTTTAAGTTCAATGCTTTCAGAAAGATTATCGAAGCTTTCAAAGCCGGTTAGGAAATGAGAAGCAATCATGATACTGTCGAGCACGAGGCATAGTGCTGCTTTTTAAGGACTTGTGACTCATATTTAAGATGTAATTTGTAACTCACACTTTGTTATACGTGTCTTCGTGCCGGCACAAAAGTTTTATTTTATGAGGGGGAGGAAATTGAAATTCTTGCGGAACCCAGCTCCTAGTTTACAAGAGGAGAAAGCGTAGCGGTGCCAAAAAAAACCTTCAATAATTTTACAAGGCTAACTTGGATTTCCAAGAAATCCTGGAATTTATATAAAAGCAAGGCGGGCACTTAAATCTATAATGAATAAAAAATAAAGGATTACTATTAAGCCTGTTTCGCCTCTACCCCCTATACTGGAATACATAACTATAACTCGCCTAAACTTTTCCAAAAAATTTACTTCTGGAGAAGGCTTCCCTCTCTGTCCGCTCTGTTATTTTTTTCCTCAGTAAAACTCAAGGCGACCTTATTTTGTAGGCAAAGTTGTTTGATTATATGTTTTACGCACATATAATCAAACAACTTTATTAACATTATTAACAAATACTTGGAATATTTGAAATATTTGCGCGTTACGTTGAAAAGGAGGAGCGGAGTTGAATACTGTC